GGCTCTGAGTTTCTACTGTTAACGCGAATTGTGGTGCTGTGCTGACGGTGAATGATAAAATGTCGACAAGCAGTTCGCGCACGCTCCCACGTGACGGCGCGTTTGCCACACCGCCTGGGCGAAGCCGGTGAGACATGCTGGGGAAAAGCAGCACAGCGCATGGAAAAATGGTCCCGTACTTCATCATCATGACGTCTGTAAGCAAAAGACAGTACGTTAATTACGGGAAAGATATAATTGTTTTGTGCCCAGAAAGTATTTGCCATCGCTTGATTCTTCACCAAATGTCTTCATTTAATTCATTTCATAATTTTGTGCACATGTAATTCAAGCTCTCACGGTGAAATTGCTCTTTGAGCACATGGTCAATCTTCTTTTTATGGTAGAGGGCTTTTGACATTTCCAAACCAAACAGCTAGCCAGTGACTGAACAAAGGTGTAGGGAAAGTTTACAACCTGTAGGTGATTACACACCCACCTACTTACCCACCTGGTTTAAGTGTGTGTGTGTGCGTGCACTTCTAATTGTCAAATCGCAAAATGGCCGACAGTTGAGGCACTCACAACCGCAGTCACTGCTGCCTCAATTCTTACACAAATGTGAATGTTTACTCGAATCAGGGAGCATAAGCGCAGCTTCCTCTACAATGCACACAAGAATTGGATGTGTACCGATGATGTGGGGTGTACCCAAATGCCGATGTTGTCAACGCTTTGCGAATGACTGTTTGAGGTTCAAAAGAATCGCCTTTTCAACTTCCCCTCATATGGCAGCTTGCAGGCGTGTGGTGGTCACGCTGCGTTAATGCAGCGTTGCAATTTGTTTGCTTGGTTTCATGCCTGCGCGCACCTTCACTGTCACCACGATCCTTTCCAGTGACCCCACTGTGCAGTGAGGTTGGATACGTCCTCGTTAGAGAGTTGTTACCACCGAGTATGTTGGTGCTGCCTTCATGTCCTTGCATATGACCTGCGTCGGTCCATTTGGTTAGAGCGACTGATTTGCATTGTCCTTCGACTGGAAACAGGCGAATCATTCTGGATGTCATTTTACAATAAAAACGGACGAAAACAAGGCAGTTGAACGGGAACCATTTCGTTCACAATAGATGTAGCAACCGAATGGGGTCGGTTGAGGTTGCTAAGTTGGGTGTCTGATGTGTGGACAGCTAGAAACAATGTGCGACGCCTAGTCATGACGCTGAGCTTTTCTGTCCCTTCCCCTCCTCCCTCCAATTTCCCACCCCATCCATGTATCACTGACTGTACCAGCTGCGTCGATCTGTCAGACCCATCGACGTGGAGAATAGGCTTAGTGGAGAGAGGGCAGGAAATGAAGACTGACACACCAGTCACATTGGAAATGTGCAAATGCTAGTGCCACAGCGTACCTCGATATTGCAGAGACTTGGATTCCCTCAAGAACAGCTTCCTGCAGAATTAATGGCCAAGTGTATAGTACCGGCCAAAATCTCTCACTCACCACCAATTTGGACAACTGCTCTGCAATCACTTCCTCGTCACCTCGACACTTTCAATCCGAATAAGGCGTGAGATTGGATGGTGTGATCGCGATG